GAAACCACAATTACCCAGCTCAGTTAGAATCTACATGCTATAATATATGTTGGGATGAACTTTCTTGATGTCCTGCCATCACCGTGGTTCCTCTCCACTGAGGGACCACCTAACCACCTGGCTGACCTCCTGACTCATGTTAGTGACATCTCGGCTGATATATACAGTATGTGGGTGTCTTTCCACTGTTGGAGTCTCCCTGTCATCACCATGTAGCAGAAAGCCCACTGCTGAGGGCCAGAGCCTCTCTCTTTCCATCTTGTTTCCTTGTGTGTTTGTATGTTATTTTCTGTTATCTCTGTGTGTTATATGTAACGGTTAAGTTTCATAAAATGTCCTCCATTTGGTTTGTCTAATATATCATAACAATATCTTCTGTCTACTTAAATAAGCTTTGATGTAAGACTGTATGGATTGCATTTGTTATATTTGGCAGTGGCATTCAACCAAATCTATTCCTTGCTATTGAAATGTACACGACCATCCATACGTTGCCCCTTTTGACCTGTGGAGGGCCTCATCACAGTCCATATATCACTGCTGAGTGAGTGCGAGTGTGATGACATGAGCCTTATCGATCTGTCAACACGGCAACAGCATGTCCAGCTATTAATATGTGCGCTATTGTGTAACATGTATGTTGTAGCTTCAGGATATTGTTAATGAGAAGGGTTTTTAGCATGTGTAATGAAACAGTTTAAGGGTTGCATCTGTAGTTGTGGAAGCGGTTTAGTAATGTTAGGACAGTTTAGTGAATAAATGCTGCTATATTCTGTTCCTGATGTCCATTTGCCTTGGTTCTGTACTGGTTCTGCTTTTGAATAGAATATTTCTATTGTCGCGTTCTTGGTAACACAGCGGCTGAATTCAGCGCTGTGAAGAGGTTGTGGGTCTGGCTACTAGGTCTCAGTGTGTGGAGTCTGCATTCATGCTGTCAATATTTTGGGACACCCATAATTGTGACTTAATAAAAAGTTATCCATTTTCATAGTGGAGGCCTTTTCTGATGGAGGACAAAGCATAAATGTATCGGGTGTACCTCATACCTTACCCGCAGATCTGACCAGATTCAGTGATGCCTCCTTATTGTGTTGCAGAAATTTTATGATAAATATATAGGCATCAATATCTGTATAATCATTCACAATATTTATTATTTATCAGTGTTTCTTCATTTAAAAATCAGACAATATTCACATCTACTGTATGTAAACATGATTCTTACAAAATGGGACAATCGTGTCTAGAAAACAAGAAAGTACTGTAACAGACCGGGTTAGCATGTTTTAATTTTATTTATTTATTGTTTATTTGGTTGGGACAGTACATGTTAATGAACACATCACTCCGGATTGTAGCCATGGGCTAATTTGCGTCCGTTGTCCCACATTCACAAACACACACTCATTCACCCTGAACTATTGTACATGTTTTTAGTGGTAGGGGAAACCGGAGTGCCCTGAGGAAACCTACGCAGACACGGAGAGAACATGTAAACTCCACTCAGAAAGGCTTGGTTCTGACCAGGATTCAAACCCCGAACCTTCTTGCTGAGAGGCGAGATTGCTATCCACTAAGCCACTGTGGCATATCATTGTTCGCTCCTCAATATTGATATTCGTGTTAAAAAATGTAGTGTTCGTTCTTCAGATTAATCCATTTGTTTAGAATGCAGATAGAATATTTCAACTTTGAGTAAAGACAATAAAACATATGTTTTGATCCATAACAGAGCTTTTTATCATTTACACAATGCCTAATATTTCTTCATGCAAATAAATCCTGTTGGTGCCATAATAACAGACCAATCAGGAGCCTTCTTTATACTTTATAGACTTTATTTATCTCACACAAGAGAAATTTACATGTCACATTTGGCATCGATAGAATCACTCAGATTTGTGCAAAAGACAGAAGTGTGCAAACATGCTAAATGCAAAACCTATAGTCTTTTCAGGATATATTATGTACAATAAAAAAGTGGAAATTAAAGTGATAGTCTGTAACTCTAAATTAATTACAAATTTTAGGAAATGTGATAAATTGACCTCCTGGCCTTAAATGTTGATATAAAATAAGTCATTTTATTAATTCTAATATTACGGGCAAGTCCCGCCTTCCCTGCTCTTAGCTATAGTTCAGAATCCACGGTGCCGTCGAGGTTAACCAATCGAGTCATGCCAAGGGCTGTCAATCATCGGCGCTGATGCTTGCAGCTGCGCGCATGCGCAGTTGTTTGTTTTCGCGGAGCCTCTATTAGGCTCTGGAACTACATGAAAACTGAACAAAGAATTCTGAACATCCGCGCTGAGGTACTTATGTATATTCTGAACCTATATCCATAATCAGATCCTCTGCAGATGTGTCCTAAAATGTGCAATTCATGATAATAGCACTTCCTGGTTTGCCGCGATCGCTTTTTTTGTGCATAAAAACATTATTTTTTTCATTAAAACTTTCACAAATAATTCTGAAAACCTCCGTGCATGTGTATTTATAATGTATATGTATAATGTGTTCTCTGATTAACATTTCAAAGTGTTACGGAAACGTAGGTGTAGACCAATCAGAAAGGAAGGGGGAGGGAGCTTGCGTCGTTTTTTTCAAATCAAGTACCTCTCTGTCTCTCTTTCTGACAAACTCCAGACAATCACTTTAAAGAAACAGTGGCAATAGGAGTGCAGGTTTTTAGTCCTAGTGCAAGTGACTTAAAGAGCGACTAAACACCTGTGCCCAGCCTGACTCCGCCCACATGAAGATTTGAAAATGTTCTCTAAAAAGGGCGTTGCCTGGAGGACTAAGGGACAAGAAGGGGGGCTTAGAGTTGGGCGTGGTCTGGGCTGTGATTGACAGCTCACTTGTCACACACAAAAAAAACGTTGTCATTGCTGCTTAAAGCAATAGTTTACAGACCAGAAAGTCTCATTCCACCCTTGTTTACACACTAAGATAATTGTAAAGCTACACACCTGAACCTAATCACAATCAATAATCTCAGAATGACTCATGTAATTTAATTTGAATCCACTAGATGGCGCCAGAATACTCCAAACTGCAGCTGGGGCGTGTGTGAGAGTTGAATGGGTTTATATCACTGGCTCTGACAGACTGACGTCACACAAAACAACTGATGTCATAGAGAACTTCAGAGTCAATGGAGAGGCCAGAACCAAATTAAAATGTAGTACCACCAAAAAGGTGGAGAGGGCACCACACAGCGTTTTTTGGCTCAAAAGTGATATTTTATCTAATTTGAACTAAAATGTCCAAAAAATGACCAGGATATGTAGACAGCACTACAATAAACATACTTATGCAGTTTATGAGTTAAAAAAGTTGATTTGGTGTTTAGTTGCTCTTTAAAGTGACTTATTGTACAGTCTGACAGTGGTGGGGATTAGGGATGTAAATCGGTGACCGTTTAACCGGTGGTTGACCGTCACAGCGTTAACCGGTCAAAGCTGTCGGTTAAAAAAGAGAAAAAGGGGAGAGGGGAGGTCTTTTCATAACGCTATTTTAAGCCCTATTTGCACAATGTGACGAGCGGGTCCGTATCTAGCTGTGTGCGTCAATGTATCAGTAAACTCCGGGCCGACTCTCACGCCGCACGCGCCACACATGCACGCGCGTGCACAGACACACACACACACACACACACACTTTCGATACGTAACATCCACAAGCATCATCTCTCCCCTCTGTTACCGCCTGCTAGTTCCACACTGGTGCAGGTCAGAACTACATTGGAGCTTATATTTACACGCACATACACATACAAACATACACAAACATGTATTGTACACACACATACACATACCATAGACTGTATACATTAACTTGAGCGGAAGCCTGCGAGACGCGGCGCGTCACTCACTGCTCTGACCATGTGAACGAGCCGTCTTTTGCTTAAAATTCTTTAACCCGCAGCACAGCAGAACAGCACGCGGCTCGAAATGGCTGTTATTTCAAAGAACATGGACTATTTTAAACTACGCGGTTAACCGGTTTCAACCGGTTAATGAGGCTCGGTAGTCGGCCATGTATATTCATAGTTTTTTACATCCCTAGTGGGGATAAAGGCCCTGCGGTAGTGCGCTCCTTCTTGCACTGAGGGGGCTTCAGTCTTCCACTGAAGGAGCCCCTTAGCTCCTCTACAGTCCATCTACAATGCATTGACACACATGTGGAACGGAGCTTTGGGCCAAGAGCCAACTTTTGGACCATCCTGTAAAGACGTTTTCGAGAGGTCTGCCAATGCTATATGTTAGCATTGGCTAATTCTTATTCCGGGTCCACCCCCATCGGCCCGGGGTGGTATTGCAAGCATGTCAGCGCACGTCATTTTAGCCACTTTTGAGCTGGGTGTCAATACATGACATATTGGAGGAGTTTTACAATATCTCTTGAAATTATATGTACCTGTAAAAATACAAACCCCAAACGGAGGAGGCTAAAGCAGAAAGCTTTTTTGGGCCTTCTCTTATTATAATACTACATTTAGGCGACTGCAAACCGATAAAACATTTTGAATGACAATCCTGACTTTCTCCCATCATTATTGTCATCATCTTGTTGATACGCACAAAAAACAGCAATCGTTATTAACAGCCAAATTACCTTTAGCTCAAATCCCCAATATCAATTGATTTCAGAAGAATGAGCTGTATTAATAAGTCAAGACTGTGAATTGAAATATAACTTTTCTTCCCGACTTCACTTCTAGAAGCAGAAATAATTGTGTTGGAAATCTGTGTGTTTGTTTCCACTGCGATTGTATTTAAAGACATTTATTTCAAGTCTGTACCTTTCATGCTTAAAACCGTGCTTGTTCCCTGCAGCCATCTGAATACAGGCTATTATTGGGACGACCATATAAGGGCACAGGACTGTCTCTCCTGCATTCTTCTGCCCTGCTCCTCTCAGAATATGTTGCCTTTTACCATGTCCTCTTTGTGACCTCAGGCTGATGTGGATGTACTGTGTGTGTTATTTTTGTGCAGGTGAAGCCAGGATAAAGAAGCCAACGCCAAAAACACCTCCGAGACAAGGTACAACTACAGCAGATACACAACTTGTACATGTCATATTCCCATAATACATTTAGCCATGTTCCCTAATACAATATGTTTGTTACTGAAATAAATGATGAAGTGGATTTAATGTAGATTCCTGAAAAATGCATGTGTTACAAACAGTCTTTACTCTTTGTTACTACACAAAACGCAGCTTGAGTAATAGACCAAAGAGAGAGAAAGCAAAAGAGAGGTTTCTGACCAGGACCCCGGTTTAATTTGCTGACGACTCCTCACAGATGTGAAGTAAGTTCACTCAAAGCTCATAGCACAAGCGCCAAAAGTCCCAGGTGTCTTCCTTCCTCTTGTACTCAAAACTTGGTTTGAAACCTCAGTGTTCCTTGTTCCTTGCTGGTCAGACGTGAGCAGACACATGGTCCGTATGCGTTAGTTGCGGTCAATACTTGTGCCAAAGTCTCTATTATATCTACATACATGTACATATGCAGGCCCATATGTAGCCTAAAAGACTATCGTACATGGTATGGAACAATATTTCATCTGTGCTGCTCTGACCCGTCCTGCTCTACCCGGAGGCAACTCCACCTCTGCTGCTGTGACCTGTCCTGCTCCACCCAGCAGCTACTCCATCTCTGCTGCTGTGACCTGACGGGCTGTTGCTGATTATTACTATTGTTATCTTTTTAGAATGATCAATATTTGTTTTTTCTGCTACTGGACACCTATGGGGATCAATAAAGTATCTATCCATCTATCTATCTACTTTAGGCGTAAGGCAAATGCACTTCATGCAAGTCATTGTTGAGCTGTGCCTCAGTACAGGCTACACTTCTGAACTGCCTCAAACATTTTCAATTGGACATTAGATCAAGTTGGATGTTGCTTTAGGTGAGACAGAGATCATTTATAGGAACAGCAGCCTGTTACATGGAAATCTGTGCTAAATATTTTCTCTGCTAAAAAGTAGGAAACAATTTTGTTTTCGAAGCAGTTCCCTCAATTTTGATTTCAACATGGTGACAGCTGGGTTGAAAGGAATGTATAGCAATTTGCACAAAATATATTAATAATAATAATAATGCATCGGTTTTATATAGCGCTTTTCTGGACACTCAAAGACGCTTTACATGTCATTATTCTTTCACTCAGAAGCTGACAGAAGCGAGGCAACCAGTATGCGCCATCGGCCCCTCCGACCACCACCACCAACAATATACTATAAAAAAACAATGTAGATTGTTTTTTTATAGTATATTGTATAGTATATACAATGTAGAAACTGCCCATTCTTTTGAAAAGTATGTTAATAAAATTCCAATGATACTGTTCCTGGTCTCGGAGGATCCTTACATCACTAACAAACAGTTTAAGTATTTTCACACTCGGTCAGTGTCCATAGTCCTGGTCAAAGTCTCACTTATGCTCCTCTGTTGTCAGCCATGCCTCCTCAGATCCTGCAGTTCCCAGAGGACATGAAGATCTTGGCTGGGGAGAAGGTGGAGATCCTCTGCAGGTTCTCTGGAGCTCCGACCGTCAACTGCACCTGGCTCAAGTTCAGGAAACCAGTAAGATCATGCACTTGTAGCAGAAAGATTTGTGCCCTCCAGCAGACGTTGACGTTGGTGGGATTCACTGGAGGCAGAAACCATAGGCCACTGTCCGGTTTCCGAAATGTGCTAACAATAGCTTCGATGACTGCGCATGCGCGCATGTTTCGGACAAACATTGTACGACTCCGTTGAGTACTACTGTGTTCTCCACATACGCGTGTGTATTTACTTGGGCTAAATCATTGAATCATGGTGACAACAAAACACTGCAGTTATGGTACTTGTCGGAGCGATTTCAGATACTCTGAAAAGGACTATGAAAGTAACATTCAACCCGTTCGTTAAACCAGACGGACCAGACCAGGACCAGATCAGACCAGGACAAGTGCAAGAGGTGGGTTCGTGCTTGTGGTTGGCAGAATTTCTCTCATGAAAATGTTAAAAAGGACTCATATTTATTCAAAACACTTCGTCTGTGAAGCTGGACCAACTGTGGAGTATCCAGATCCAGTCCTAGCTACGTTTAGCTGGGACTGGATCTGGACCGCTGTATCAGGTCCGTCTGAGCTCTTCTGAATGTAGTTAGCTCAAACTTTCTCTTTATACCATTTACCCCCATCAATCCATATTAGTATTGTTTGTCCTAATCCAGAATGTATACAATTCTCACACCTGAAGAAAGATGAGAGGGATTGTTTCAACTTCGTGACTATCGGAAAATAAGTACAGACGAAGCGCGTCGGGGTCCGCTTATTGTACGGCTTTGTACCAACTGAACACACAAAATAAACTTCAGTCACTTTTATTCATGCCGAAAGGTTTATTTAATGACTGCAAAGAAAATAGTTCCCAAAGGTTTTCCCGTGGCAGGCGAGTAACAGTGAGGCTAGTTAACCTACTTCAAAAAAGCGATCGCTTTAGTCGCATTAAAAAAGTATTTTTGTCATGAAAACCTTAACAGATAATTCTGAAAACCTCCGTGCATGTGTGTTACAAATGTATGTATAATATATTCTCCGATTAACATTTAAATGTGTCGATTGATTGTCATTTGCGTTTATTGAGTGTGGCTAGCTCCGATAGTTTCTCTCTCAGAGACAGTAGTGGCGTAGCCCGTTGTGACCCCATGGATCTGTTATAATATCGGCTGACAGTAGCTAACTAGATGATCAAACTAATTACAAAGTGGATAGTGGAAAAAAAACCTTGATAAATGAAAGTTAATCACAGCAAAATGAACAAAGAAGGCGCTAGCATTGCAATGTAAATGACAGGATAATGTTAGCATAATCCTCACCATTACCTTTTTATCAATTCACACTTTCTACCAGTTACTGGAAGACCACGACATTCAAGCCAACGTTTTAATTGGTCTACACTATAATCCCTGATGGTTTGATGGTGGAAATTTGCTCCTGGTATATTATTTTTGTCTAAAGTGACAAGTGGTATTTGATTCATTTCGGCAGTGTTTGTCCAAAACATGTGGGCGGGAGTTGACAGGCGGCGGGGGCGTGTCTTAGTGACGTCATTTAGATAGTTTGCTATTGATTGATTATATTAATTCAATCAGAAATAATATAAATGTATAAGTAAATTAGTGTAAATTCAGTCGCACAGGGATTAGTCAAAGCAAAGGAAGATTTATTAACCATCATTTTTACTTCTTAGCAGGTTTTTTCGATGAAAAATCCAAAGAACTTTTTAAAAGGAATGAAAGCTCAGACTGCGAGTTGGAAATTTCTAACCTATGTGTGTGGTTAGACACCCCCTATTGAGTTTATGAGTTAGCCTCAGGATTAGAGGGTGTCTAACCAACTTTGAATGTAGTTATTCAAATTAATTTTCTCTTTTCTGTTTGAGTATCAAACAGTTAAAACACAGGAAATACATAGAACAATGATCATAAACTGATGATGTCCATAAACTCGTTGAATGTCACGTGTCCTGGATCACCACCACTGTCCTCAGATCCTCCTGCATCTGCAAAAGAGCCAGCTTTCTCAATGCAACTAGTTCAGTTTCTCTAAAATGCATTTGCGGAATTCTCCCCAACAAATAATATTTAAATACTTTTGTACTTTTACTTTTCATTAGTATATTGATGAGTATAGATGATTTTTAAAGAACTGATAGTCTGTAACCGAGAGCCGTGTTTACGTGTCAGATCCAGGAGGGGACGTCGGACATCTCCATTGAGAGCACAGACAGCAGCAGTAAACTGACCATCGCCAGCGGTCAGCAGGAGCACTGCGGCTGCTACACTGTGGAGCTGAGAAACAGCTACGGGCTCCGTCAGGCCGCTCTCAACCTCACCATCGTCGGTACGCTCAAGCACACACACAAACACACCTTATTACAGTTAATGATATTAAGATGGGGTATTTGTATGTGTATCATGGGACTATAATGTAATTTTGAAAAATGTCATTATGTGTTCCTAAAAGAACCATAATTTAGGTCTAGTCAGTACTGTATGTCAAGTGTGTGGTTGTATTGGTGATGAATGCCATGTCTTCAATGAAACTTTCATACAAAATTAAACAGAAACTCAACTCAAAGTGAATAGAGTTAAAAAGCACATACCATAAATTTGGCCTTGTGAACTTAGAGGCCAGTTTAGAGAATGCTGGTACCTCACGACCTAATGCAGATATGAACTGCACTGTTGCAGGCGTATAAACAGTCATTAAGGGTTTCTCTGTCCTCCTCAGACAAGCCAGACCCTCCAGCAAAGGTCCCGGCCGCCTCAGACGTGCGGCGTTCCAGCCTCACCCTGTCCTGGTACGGGCCCACGTACGACGGGGGCAGCGCAGTGCAGTCCTACAACCTGGAGATCTGGGACTCGCTGGGGAACGAGTGGAAGCACCTGGTGTCCTGCAACAGCACCTCCTACAATGTACAGGTGTGGATCAGCCTCACAGCACAACTACTGTACTCTATTTGTACTCATTTTGGTCTTGAAAACTTGGGCATGTGACTAGTTTGTATAATAAGTAATACATTTACACAGAGTTTACACAAAGTCAAAGGAACAAATCAGACCATCATGATGTCTAATTTGTCCCTAACATAATGCTGTCTTAATGTTAGGGTGCACTCACACGTTCTCAGGTGCCCAGGTGTCCCTAATTTTTTTTTGCATACTTGTAAGAAAGAGTTCTGAGTCACTATTTGGCCACTTGCCCAAAATACAAGCATGTGAAAACTTGTGATGGAACCAAAACTGTTTTGAGAGCGGAGAACTAGATACATAATTGATTTATTCCATCGGACCCAAATTTAGTTTATTTACTAGATACAGCGAGTTGGCAGCACTGTACTTACAGATCTAGGATTCTCGTTGGCGTATTTAATTATGGGAATAACACCAGGTTTAAATACCAGCCTTTGAGTAATTCCAGTTTCATATTAGCTGTAGTTCTCGAAGCAGGCTTTGTTAGTATCGCCTGCAGAAAAACAGATTGGTCGCGGATTTCGGAGACAGATCCCTGTGAATAAAGCCTAGCCATATTCGCCTCCTTCTTCGTCTTCGGTCAAAATAGTGCCGTCTCATATTTACTACCAAATGACATTTTCTCCAAGTTGACATGATGCTAACACTTTTAACCAGCAACAATAATAGAAAAAAAAGCAGAGCTTGATGTGAACACATCACAGAAGCAAACACAGACTGTGGTAGATGCAGGACTTTCATAAAGGCAGAGTATTTGCTGCTGTGGTCGTGAAGAAGCTTATGATGACAGATCTAGCCTGTTGTTAAGCTGTAAGCTGCTGTTGATATTTCTCTATTCTCTGATTGGCTGATGTTTGCAGAACCTCCTCCCCGAGCGCCAGTACAAGTTCCGTGTGCGGGCGGAGAACATGTACGGTGTGGGGGAGCCCAGCGTGGAGTCCGAGCCGGTGACCGTAGGACTGGTGGACGATGGTGAGGTCACAGATACAGACGCAGCACTTTAAAGTGCCGGTCACTGCGCTAACCTGTGTGTCCTTCCCCTGACAGAGACCCAGGAGGAGGCTGAGGAGGAGGATGACGGTACACCACACTTTTTAACATTTATTTATTTTATCAGGGACAACGCACAATAAACATTAGTCTTATAAAAAGAAAATGTCATCGCAGGTTCAAGCAAAAAGGCTAGTTTCCACCTGTAGTACCATTGTTTTCAGCCTTATTCAATTTAAAACACAATCAAAACAAAACGGAATCTAATGGTTTTTTGATCCATCCATGCTAATATTGAAGCTAATATCATGAACGTCTGAAAGCTCAGAGCAGTTTTCTTTTAAAACAAATGGGTTATTTTTATTTTTATATCCTTTTGTTGCATTTTCAAGATTTCATGGAAATGTAAGGTGCAATATGAATAAAATGTATTATATGTACGTATTGTACATAAAGTAGTTTTGGCAATTTCTCAGGTTCTTTGCAATCACACGGCTGTATTTGCAACCTGTAATTTTCAAATTTGGCAAAACACTAATTCCACTCCTCCCCTGGTGGCAGCATAGGGAGATACAGGCAACAATTATATTTTACCCTTGATACTTTCTCCACCACATATTTTCTACTGAAAATATGTTTTCACTTTATAAAACATGAGTTGACAAAGAAAATAGTCTCATTGTTGTTTTGAATGGACAACAATAATGTGCACTAATATGTATTTTTTGCTTCTTCTTTATGCCAATGTTGGAGATTATAGATTGCTTCCTTATTATGCTAAAGCTAGAGATTTAATTGTGTTGTTTATTTAGTAGAGAGTTTAGTAAAGAGTTATTTACAATCGAGCTGTGTACATTTTTCTCATCTTGTGCTGTTTTCATTTACTGTTTGTTCCTCATTCCTACTGTTCTGTTCTACTGAAATCAGTCAGTCATCACTACGGTTCTTTAAACGTATGTACTGCTGGTGTTTCAGACACAGAGAAGGAGCCGGACTACAGAGACGTGAGCATCAGGGTCGACGTGAAGGTGAAGGACCTGTACGACGTGGAAGAGCGCCTCGGGACGTAAGAAAATTTAAACATTTTGATCAGTTTCTCATTCCCCAACACAAGGGGTATTGCAAACTTAATAATGAATAATACTGATACATTTGATTTAAAAGGAAAATGGTGATCTTACAAAAGGTACGAGGTAAATATAAAATATCTTGGGGGAATACAGTGCTGCACAGATCTGCATGAAAGAATGAAAATGAACGTGAAAGTGCAGTAGTCTCTGTTTGGTCCAATCCCGCACTAAATTTAAGAAATGAGTCCTGGACAAAAACTGAAATAGTTTATTACTGTTTTACTGTTATTACTGTTTATTTTAAACGGTTAAAGCAGACACTTCAAGGTGGACAGTGGAATGTAGGGTCCCAGGGGAAGTGGACACATCTGAATAGATGTGTTTTTAGTGCAGTTTGTAAATGTAGGAGTGTGTCAGTGTTGCGGAGGTCAGGGGGAAGGGGAAGGTTCCAGAACTAGACACTTTGATCTTTGTAACAATTTTGCACAAGGTTAAAGTCAAACTATACTTAAGACAAACATGACTAAAACTATTTAGCCAGGTGTCGTTATTGACAATCTGTTGGAGAAGATCAGTATTTCATCCATTCATTTTTTACAGTTAGGCCAAAACAAAAAACCAAAAATATATTATAGGGTAATTGTGGAGGACTTTATACATTTGTCAATTTCCCAACACAGACTAGAGAATTAAACAGTTCCAACACAGGAAAGGCAATGTATAAAAAAACGCATAAGGGGTGGATCACATGTCCATAAACGTTGCTAAATGTCCTGGATCATCACTATGTGAACAAGCTGCTGTGTGTTGCAGGGGAAAGTTTGGCCAGGTCTTTAAACTGGTGGAGAAGGCCACAAAGAAGATCTGGGCGGGAAAGTTTATCAAGGCGTACAAAGCCACAGACAAGGACAACGTGAGGCAAGAGATCAGCATCATGAACAGCCTGCACCACCCCAAACTAGTGCAGTGTGTGGACGCCTTCGAGGGCAAGTCCGACGTGGTCATGGTGCTGGAGCTGTGAGTCCTCTGTGTGCCTCTGAGACCTTGAATGAGATTTAAAAATAAAGCGATTTCCAGGCTAAAATATGTATTTTTATTGTGGTAGAGTTGACAGAGCAGAGTTTATGGACTTATAATTTTGACCCCATCAAGTTTTAGTAGCTATAGGACACTCGTTTATTGTCAAAATAGATCTGAGTACTGGCACGGAAGCTAATGATTAAGCTGTTAAAGTGTGTGTGTGTGTGTGTAGCATCTTGAGTTTCCAAAAAAGCGCTATAAGCCATGCATCATTATTATTATTATTATTAATTTTAGTTAATATTACAGTCTATGCATGTGCCAGGTCAGCTGGATGTCCCTTGGCAATGATGCTTACTATCTTGGTGTTGATGGTGTCCTCAAACAGACCCACCAGGTAGAGGTGGAGATCTGAAGGACAGGCTGGTCGGTCAATTCAATTCAATTAAATTTATTTTTTCATCCATCCATCAATTTTCTACCCCTTAATCCATTTCTGGGTGTGGGGGGGCCAGAGATGCCACCCAGTACACATAGCACCAGCCCCTCTCTGATCCCTCCTGCAGGTGGTGAGTCCACAGGAGGAAATTTACTTTTGTATAGCCCTAAATCACAACAGTGGGCGGCACAGTGGCTGAGTGGATACCACTGCCTCTCAGCAAGAAGGTCTTGGGTTTGAATCCTGGTCAGAACAGGGCCTTTCTGAGTGGGGTTTGCGTGTTCTCCCCGTGTCTGTGTAGGTTTCCTCCGGGTGCTCCGGTTTCCCCTACCACTAAAAACATGCACAATAGGTATGAATGTAAACGAGAGAGTGAATAGGTGGGTTCAGCGTCTCGCTTCCGTCCTCCCTGTGTGTGGAGTGATTAGAAATATATCTAAACTATATCTGGGTTAACTTGGTCTGTAAAATGTGCTATATAAATAGACATTACTTACTTATCTCTGGGCAGTCGATTGGCCAACAGCAGATTCAAAAAATTACAATGATAAAAAACCGAGCTATTGGTCCATAAATGGGGCACGGAAAACCCCAGTGGTATAAAATGAGAAACCTCAGGAAGGTCTACATTGAGGGAGGGATCCACTTCCTCGAACGGAAAGGCTGTAGATCCAGGACTTGATGTCCATGACCAGTGAATGTTCTTTGGCTACATATTATGACTTTGTTGTGTGTAATAACTGATATTTTGTTTATGTATGCAAGTAATGGAATTCCCCATGTGGAATTTAGGCTCAAAAGAAATCAATATTTATATGTAAAAGACTTGTATTAGACGTTAAATCTGCTCTGGTCGACAGTATTTCCGGAGGCGAGCTGTTCGAACGAATCATCGACGAGGACTTTGAGCTCTCGGAGCGGGAGGTGATCAAATATATGCTCCAGATCATCGACGGGGTCAGCTTCATCCACAAGCAGGGCATCGTGCACCTGGACCTAAAACCAGAGAACATCATGTGTGTCAACAAGACGGGCAGCAAGATCAAACTCATCGACTTCGGACTGGCTCGGAGACTAGGTATGTGCTCCCCCATCGCCATCACAGACATCATCAAGTATGTCATTAAATATGTGTTCTCTTTTAAAATGATATAAGATGTAGACAAAAGATGACACAGCCCTCCTATCTCTTCTTAACGGAAATGAGATCGGTCATGGTGAGGCTCTTAGTGATTTTATTTCATGGTGTGACAAACATTTCCTGGACTTGAATTTGGCTAAAACAAAGTAGCTTGTATTTGATTTCAGAAGAAATAGAAATCCAACCCCTTTAAGTATTGTTCATGGGGTAGGGGTTGAGAGCGTCTCCCACAACAAATACCTTGGCACTATATTGGATGATAAACTGAATTTTGATGTCAACACTGCTGCTATTGTGAAGCGCAGCCAGCAAAGACTTTACCTTAAGCATAAGTTAAACTCCTTTGATGTCAGCTCTTCTATTTTGTCTCGGTTTTATCAGGCCTTCATCGAAAGTATTTTGTGCTTCTCTTTTATCTGCTGGCTCCCTAATCCTTCGCACAAAGACAAAAATAGTCTTGATAGAATTGTGCACATCTGTTCGAAACGCATAGGAGTTGGACAGAGGGAACTGTCAGCTCTCTGTAACCAGCAGGTCGTGAGAAAGGCTCGCATCATAATGTCCACTGATCATGTTCTGAATGATGAGTTCACTTTGCGCCCATCAGGACGACGTTATGTTGCACCACATGGTAGAACCAATCGTCATTTAAAATCTTTTGTGCCAACTGCTATTAGACTTTTGAACTCTCTGTAGCTGGATGTGGACTGTTTGAACTGTATTGTTGTTGTTGTATCATGTTCATATGTTTGTATGGGACTCCACTTCATTATTTCCTGTGTTTTTTTTATTTTTTTATGTTATGTGCTTCTCAAATGAATTGCCCCTGGTGGGATTAATAAAGTAGTTTGAATCTGAATCTGAATCTGAAAAGGTAAATAAATAGGGAAAAGTTAATTTAAAAAAACAAATGCTAAATACTGAAATACTGAAAATACTTAAGGGGGTGAGCTATTTCTCCAAAAAAAAAAAAAATTATAGAGAAAGTTCTCTGTCTCCATCACATGCATGTACAGTACACTCACCGTCCACTTTATCAGGTACACCTATCCAACTCCACTTAAATGCAAATTTCTAATCAGCCAGTCACATGGCAGTAACTCAATGCATTTCGGCATGTAGACATGGTCAAGACAATCTGCTGCAGTTCAAACCGAGCATCAGAACGGGGAAGAACGGTGATTTAGGTGACTTTGAATGTGGCATGGTTGTTGGTGCCAGACGGGCTGGTCTGAGTATTTCAGAAATGTTTGATCAACTGAGATTTTCACATACAACAATCTGTAGGGTTCACATAAAAAGGGTCAGAAAAAGAGGAAATATCCTGTGAGCGGCAGTTCGGTGGGCAAAAATGCTTTGTTGATGAGGTCAGAGGTTAATGGCCAGACTGGTTCGAGCTGATAGAAAGGCAACAGTAACTCAAAAAACCACTTGTTACAACCAAGGTATGCAAGAGAGCCTCTCTGAACACAGAACACGTCAAACCTTGAGGCAGATGGCCCTACAGCAGCAGAAGGCCACACCGGGTGCCACTCCTGTCAGCTAAAAACAGGAAACTGAGGCTACAATTTGCATAGGCTCGCCGAAATTTGACAATAGAAGATTGGAAATAGTTGCCTGGTCTGATAAGTCTTGATTTCTGCTGCGACATTCAGATGATAGGGTCAGAATTTGGAGTCTAGAACATGAAAGCGTGGATCCATCCATCAACAGTTTAGGCTGGTGGTGGGGGTGTAATTGTGTGGGGGATATTTTCTTTGCACTTAGTACTAATTGAGCATTGTTGCAACTCCACACCCCACCTGAGTATTGTTGCTGACCATGTCCATCCCTTTATGACCACAGTGTACCAATCTTCTGATGGCTACTTCCAGCAAGATCAAACACCTAGTCATTTCTCAAATCATCACAGACTGGTTTCTCGAACATGACAATAAGTTCACTAGTGTAATGGCCTCCACAGTCACAGATCTCAAACCAATAGAGACACTTTGGGATGTGATAGAACAGGAGATTCGCACCATGATGTGCAGCCGACAAATCTGCAGAAACTGCATGTTGCTTTCAAATATGGACCAAATTCTCTGAGGAATGTGTCCGGTACCTTGTTGAATCTATGCTACAAAGGATTAAGACAGTTTTGAAGGCAAAAAGGGGGTCCAACCCTGTACTAGCCAGGTGTACCTAATAATATTGCCGGTGAGTGTATTTTTGGCCTTAGTTACATCTTTAGACTAGCTTTTTCAGACAGAAAAGTGAAAGAGTCAAGGACCACCCTCACTCGGCTAACCAGCTCTCAGCTCAAAGCAAAATATGCAAAAGATAACATGTTTTCAAGAAAAGGGCAAACTGACGGTCTGATTTGTTCAAAACATTATACTTTCACACTTCCTGGGACAAATACAAATTTGTTATATATTTGCTTTAGGTACCCCATCTTCAAAATATCTAAAAATAATCTATATAGCAGACAAAGTAATCTTTGTATTATTGTCAAAGCAATATTTCATTTGAGAAGTCTTGCTCCAACTGGTTTTACAATGTGATGTTTCTGGTCTGTTGTAAAATGCCTGGTTTATCTTTTTTGTAGTAGTTGTAGCGGTGGGAGTGGTAGTTGTAGCAGTAGTAATACGTTTAGTAGTAGTGGTAATAGCAGCAGCCTGACACTGTTTTTTTTTTCTCTCATCAGAAAACGCAGGCACTCTGAAGGTGTTGTTCGGGACCCCAGAGTTTGTGGCTCCGGAGGTGATCAACTATGAGGCCATCAGTTATCCCACCGACATGTGGAGCATAGGGGTCATCTGCTACATCCTGTGAGCACTGCTGGACTTACTGCTACTTTTACCTCTGCCACACACAGAATCCAAGCTACATTACCTTCATTATGTTTGTTCACTTCCAGTATAACAATTATTTGTAATTTAATGCATTCTTTGGCAATACTTTCATATTTCACGTTGAGTCAAATGATCTGTCTTGGTGAATTGCAATTGAAACTTTTGACTTGTGTGCTGGGAGGCTCTTTGGCACTCTCTTGTGGCATGATGACTGCATTACACAAAATATTTTTTTTATCTTTTAAGATGTAGGCCGCAAAACCAAAAAAAGAAACGTGAGAACAAAATATTCAAATTTGAATACATTAATTAAAACACAGTATGTGTGTGTCTGTATATGTAATTTTACATATATATAAAATGTACACATTTTATATATATATATATTTTAAAAAATGCTTTAATTAAAACACAAATAATTCTTTATTTTGTTTTTGTCATCTGCTGCCCTTTAATTTGTTTTTAATTGTGTATTTTTGCAATTACCATATCCCTTAACTTATCCCCTTTTTAATTGCTTTATAATTATCATTAATATATTAACCAAACTGTTAAAAATGACCCTTAGGGTTAGGGTTAGGGTTAAGAACGGGCGTTTTTACGCTCTCTAGGGGCCAAAAATAGCTTACAACTAACATTAAAAAAAAAACATTACATTAATTACAGAGAAAATAATACAAACGTTAAAGAAACTGTGTTCCCTCATTACCCAGGTGGAAAAGGCTGAAACAAACCATAACTACAAAGACCAAGAACTGTAGCACACAACTTGTTTGTCCAACTGCTGCTATCTACTCACGTTGCCATGCACACAAAAACAAACTGCTGATCATAAAAAAATAATTATCAATAATAATAATACATGAATTAATAAAAAAGTCATTTACATGTACGATTATTACATTATTTATTAAATTTTCAACCTTCAAATCTGTTGAATAAGTTTTCACACTGCTTTTTACGCATATATTCTGGCCTCATATGAATTTCTCTTCACTTCCTGTTCTTCCAGTCTGTCGGGTCTCTCTCCATTTATGGGCGACAACGACAACGAGACCCTGTCCAATGTCACCTCGGCGACCTGGGACTTCGAGGACGAGGCTTTTGACGAGATCTCGGACACGGCCAAAGACTTCATCACCCAGCTGCTGCGCAAGAACATGAAGTACTGTCCCTCTGTCAGAAGTAACACGCATTTGTCTCGACAGAAAGAAGCTGAAGACAGTAGAATGTTCCAATCAGAATTAGTTGAATTAGTAGAAGATGTGATCTTTTGTATACTTGATCAAAAGATCCCTTTGAGTCACTATTTGACTTCTTTGGGCTGCGAGCTGATTGGATTAGTTTGGTTGGTCCTTTCTTTTTCACTTACTGTACATATCAGCTTTCTCACTAGTTTTGAGCGTTGGATGGATTACTATTGAATTAACCAGCTGAGTGATGGTTATATTCACCGAATAAAAACTAAAAAGAAAACTAGAAAATTAACTTAGAATAGGCTTTTTCCAAGAGGGGTAGACTTGTGATTTATTTATTTTTATCAGCCTGATGAGACTTCGATTGATCAGCCCTTAAATCATCTCACTGAACTTAATTTTTGCAGCCCAGGAATTGTAACTGCAATGTTTATTAATAATAATAGTATTGCTTTGGTTTTCTATAGCACTTTTCAGGACACTCAAAGATGCATCACATGTAATTCTTTCACTTCACAAACAGTGGTTATAATCTACATCTGCAGTAGTTACACCAACCATTCACGCGTAAACACCAGACTCTTTCTAGGCAATGTGGGTGAAGAGTCTTGCCTAAGGACACAGCGACAGTTTGGCCCATTAAAGCCACAGCCACACCCACTGCGGCACATGGTGTTCCCAGAGATGTGAAAGAAATTGATTGTTTTATGCCTGTTTGGTATCAGTTGTTGTTACTATAAAACTGCAATAAGTGAAATTTTCTATCAATGTTGTTGATGGTTTTTTCCGATGTGTTGTTGCAGAACTCGACTGACGTGTGCTCAGTGCTATGAACACCCCTGGCTCAAACAGGACACTAACACCATGAAGGCCAAGAAGCTATCCAAGGAGAGGATGAAGAAATACATCCTCAGGCGGAAGTGGCAGGTACTCTAATCTCATTATCAGATCTATATTTGTATTAGTGAAAATATTGGATGAAGTAAGAGGAATAATGCTTTTTTTCAAATGTCTACAGAAAACAGGCCATGCAGTGAGGGCCATCAGCAGATTGTCTTCCATGGCCATGATGGCGGGGGTCAGCGCCAAGAAAGGTTCTCCTACAGAAGGTCTGAAGACACTGTTTTAATTACTGTCTACTTTCAGCAGCAAAAGTTTGTTTTCTTGCTTTCTTCTTTCTCCTGTAATCGTCAGCCAAGAAGAGGGTAGTGTGACAGAGACACCATGCACCAATGGTGTAGGTTTGGTTCCAATCTTGGTGGGGACATTCACTACGACCTGAGTCTACACCCATTGACACGGGGTCCAGAGTTTCTCCCCCAGAATTTGTTGTGTAATCACACACTATATTTGCAATAGTGTGTTGCCTTCTATACTAAACTCAGCTGTAGACTGAATGAGAAGCAGTTAAGGATTTTTTCTAATAGTTAAAACAAAATCAATTGGATCAGAGCTTCTGAGTTTTGTGTTGCGTTCATTCTAACTTTGTCCACAAGATGGCTTAAATGTTTATAGTAAATAAGATAGTAAATATATCCTGTATTCAGGATCAGGCTGATATGGTTTACAACCTATCTCAAATATGCTGTCCCTGGCACTTTCTTGAGAGTGACTCTCATTGGCTGCCTCCTAAATAGCAAATACACTGTTATGAAACTTTAAAAAATCCCATATTTTATCTTCATAATTCCAGCCTCACCTTCGATATCTGCCTGCACTACATCTTCCCTGAATACCTGAGTTCCCTATAATAAATAAAACACATGTAGTACATTAAACAAATCAGATCTAAGCATATACAAAATAAAACCACCAACAAAACCAAATAAATACTTTCAACCTCACCTGAAGCCCTGAAGGTCCAGCCACTTCCTCATCCTCTACCAGCACTGCACATTCCCTGTTTGTCTGACTTTCCTTTATGGTATTAATAAAAACACACATTCTACATTGAATAAAATGAAACCTAGGCATGGTACACCAGTCGCTAAATATCTCATGAAACTAGAATTGGTTGATGGGTCTAAGATTTTAACTGCTTAATCCTAACCTCACCTGGAGTCCTGTCTTGTCCTTGTCTTTATCTCCTTCTTGAATTTCCATTATATTTCTCAGAGTGTCCTATATTTAGTAAAAGATTTCAGACAACACTTTTTGCATCATTATAGTAGTAAAATATGTTGTAATTGGCATAGGTAATTTCCAACCAAATGATGTTCTTTAACTTTAGTATGATTCTATACTGACTTAAACCTAATCCAAATCTACATAATAGCCCTCACCTGAGGCTCTAACAGTTCAGGAACTGCTCTCGATACTTGAAATAAATCATGCTCTGATCTTTCAATTTCCTATAATAAATAAAAACAGAGGAGAAAATATTGAATTAGAATCTACAGTGAGTAGCTCACTACATTGTTTGACATATACGATCAATCTCTAAAAACAATTCATAGTCCCATGCATACCTACAAAATTCCAACCTCACCTGATGCACTGAAGGGCCTGTTGCTTCTACCTCAACATTCCCTATATTGTTCTCTCTTGTTGGTTGAGTTTCCTATGTATGTTAACAGAAGATTAATCATCACAATTCATAATTTGCTATTACTTGTGCTTTCTCTTACTTACTTTCCAACTGTTAAAAAAGCTCCTGATATCTTTTATCTTTTTTTGTGGAGGTTGCATTTTTTCTAAATTATATAAGAAGGTATAGACAATCAAAAACAGACATTCATATACATGAACTGCAGAATCATTTATATAACTTGGCCAATGTCAAAAGTTACATAGTATTTCTCAATACAATGAGTTAACAAGAGTTTGGCAATAAGTAACAGTGTGGATTTTTCTATATTTTCTTTCTTTTATTCCACTCTCAACCCAAAAAGGCAAGTAATGACTCACAGGGCTCTCAAGTATGCAAAATAAAAACTTAAATGACCTGTTGTGGTGTGTTTTGCGCACAACCAGCATGCATCGTTAACGCAATGGAAAATTCAGGTATCCGAGCTTTAATTTCGGGAGCGCTGGTTGCGCTTTGGGAAGAGTCAGGGGAGAGACATGTCAGAGACACAGGGGAGAAACGGGGGAGATACGAGGGAGACCCGCACTTGCAACATGGTTCTGTCTGCATATGGTCCGAGCTCGGTACCATGTTAGAGCTGTGCTTTCACTGAGCGCCGCGGCTGTCATTACAAAGCGGCAGCAGCTGCACCAGGACGTGCACATTCGAGTTCATCGCTTGAATGTGCTTAGAGCAAATAACAGCAAGTGCCCGCTGTCACACATTTCACAGAAATTACATTATCAGCAGATAAAGGTTGTAAATCGTGGATCCGTGGAATATTTTCATCCCTAGTTTATCCTGATTCACACAACACACCCACTTATACATTTTGGATAGTAAGAGCACAATAAGTATTTTTTCAGCCTTTCAACCAACCTGTTTCTTTATTGGAGCCAGTTCTGTTCTGTCTCTGTATGCCGTGTGAGCTCCTCGGAACATTAAACAGTGCGCTGACAGATTAGAAATAACGTTAGTACTTTGAATGGTAATAGATCTACAGAACTTTCCTCTGATTACTCACGTGCTACAACGCTCAGGGAACGAAAAAAAACACTTGCTTCACGCTGGCTAACTTTTAAAAATTAAACAGTCGCTCAGTGCTTCAGTTTGGCGCTGAAGAAGACAGCCAATCACTGCAAAGAACGGAACGGGTCACGTGCTGCTGCTGCTGCTGTTGCTCTGGAGGCGAGGAGGAGGCGCGACGTGTGCACAAACGGAAGACATGTGTCCCGGACCGTCCGGGTCACGGGACATCATGTCATTTTGGTGGGGACTTTTTAGTCCTCACCAAATATTGGTGGGGACATGTCCCCATGGTCCCCACGCAAACCTACGCCCTAGCCATGCACTATAAAGTTTAGCTTTAGTGTCTCCTCATACATGTCCTTATCTTACATGCTAGATAACAGCAACAACAATTTATGAGAAAGTGTTATTTAATGCAAAATGTTTTTTTAAGCAAAATGTTTTAGGGGACACACACCGATATCCACAAAGTGTTGCTTGAATATTTCAAAAAGTACTCATCCAAAAAAACTTCAACATTTATATATTGAAAGGAAAGCCCATGACAAACTATGCCAGAAAGAATGGCCAGTATTCATCCATCAGGTGGCACTAGAGAATAACAAAATTACAATGATATAAACCATAACTATATAATAAACCACACTATTTACCTATAGTATAAGTGCAATAGAATTTGTTTGTGTGCACATATATGTGCTCTGTGTACTGGGTGCAGCTCTGACTGCCAACCCCCCGACCCAGAAATGGATTAAGCGGAAGAAAATAGATGGATGGATGGATGGATGATTAATCAGTCAATTGAAGGGAGTCCAGGGCAATAGTCAGCAAACCTTACTGTTGCATCAAATTATGGATTATAAAAACATGTCAATGAGGATGTCTCAAGTGTGTCAGACAGTAAAATGAAAAAGAGGAGCCCCCTTCACTCAGCCAATATATATAATATATATATATATATATATATATATATATATATATATATGTCGATAAAACCATTGATTGTAAACTTATTGAAAATATGTCATTAACAGTGGAAGAACAATTTGAATGTGTTACTGTGGAGCTAGTGTTGCAAAAAAGGAGAAACATTCTTGTAAGCTGTGTTTACAGAGCCCCTGGATCTGATATCCATTTATTTAATGACTGGATGGAAAGGCTATTTGCTAGTATAACAAAAAAAGATGTAATTGTGTGCGGCGACTTTAATATAGATTTACTGAATGGAAATAAACACAGAATTACAGAAGATTTTATTGAAACAATGTTCAGTAATAATCTGTATCCACTAATCACATCACCTACAAGAGTAACAGCACACAGTGCAACTTTAATTGATAATATTTTTTCTAATATTATAGATAATAAAATAATTAGTGGGATACTCCTAAATGACATCAGTGATCATTTCCCTGTCTTTATGGTCTATGATGTGAACTACAAAATTATTCAAGAAAATAACTGTTACAGAAGGGTTAAAACAGATCAAGCACTGGAAGCTCTAAAAACAGACTTAGCGTCTCACAACTGGTCATTTATATATGCAGAGTCTGATGTAAACACAGCATATAACTCTTTTATGGATATATTTATTGCACTTTATGACAAAAATTGTCCAGTTAGGAAATGCCGGAAAAAAAATGAATCAAATACTCCTTGGATAACAAAAGGACTATCAAATGCTTGCAAAAAGAAAAACAATTTACATAAACATTTCCTTAAATTAAGAACTACTGAGGCAGAACTTAAGTACAAAAAATATAAAAATAAAACTAACAAGTATCCTGAGAGAATGCAAAAAAGAATATTATGCAAAGTTACTTCAAAGTACGAAGAATAATATTCAGGGTATCTGGAAGGTATTGAATTCTATAATGGGGAGCAATGCGAGTGGCCCTTGTTATCCAGAGTATTTTGTTGAAAATGACAAGGTAATTAATGTTGGAAAAGACATTGTAGAAACATTTAATAGGTTTTTTGTGAATATTGGACCCGAGCTAGCAGCGAACATTCCAACGGTCAGTGATACTGTTCATACTTCGCTTGAGAGGAACCCAAATTCTATGTTTCTGACTCCCACTGATGAGAATGAAGTCTTGTTGACCATAAAACAATGTAGCAACAAAACTTCTAAGGATTTCAATGATATAGACATGAAAACAATAAGAGCTGTTGCGGAAGCAATTGTCAAACCACTAACACATATCTGCAACCTGTCCTTTCAATACGGACAATTTCCCACCCAAATGAAAATAGCCAAGGTAATTCCTCTATTCAAGTCAGGCAATAAACACTGCTTCACAAACTACCGCCCAGTCTCCCTTCTACCCCAGCTTTCAAAAATTCTAGAAAAAATATTTAATTCAAGACTACTACATTTTATGGAAAAAAATAATTTATTATCAAACAGTCAATATGGTTTTAGACAAGGTAGATCAACAACACAAGCTCTAATAGAAATGGTGGAAGAGACTACCAATTGTATAGAAAAAAACAACTTTATTATTGGAATTTTTATTGATTTAAAAAAGGCATTTGATACAATTGATCACCATATTCTTTTAGACAAATTGGGCCACTATGGCATCAGAGGAACGCCACAGAGGTGGTTGGAGAGTTATCTGGGAGACAGGCAGCAGTTTGTGCAGATGGAACAGCACAAATCTTCTCTTTGTAACATCATGTGTGGGGTCCCTCAAGGTTCTATCCTTGGGCCAACACTGTTTTTACTGTATATCAACGACATTTGTAATGTATCCAAAGTCATGAAATTTATATTGTTTGCGGATGACACTACAATCTTATGTTCTGGAGCGGATTTGGAGAAGCTCCTCAATCAAATAACTCAAGAAATGTATACATTAAAAACATGGTTTGATGTAAATAAATTATCACTTAACTTAAAAAAGACAAAACTAATGCTATTTGGAAACAGGACCACAGACACGACGGTACAAATAATCATTAAAGATACAGTCATCGAAAGGGTACCGCAAAATGAGTTTTTAGGAGTAATCATTGATCAAAAACTCTCTTGGAAACCTCATATAAATTATCTGAGATCAAAAGTAGCAAAGTGTGTTGGTGTGATGAAGAGATGTAGTCCCATGCTCAATCAAAATGCCTTATTTATTTTGTATCACTCATTCACAATGTCATACTTAAATTATTGTATAGAAATTTGGGGAAATTCTTACAAAACAAATCTATTACCTTTAGTTACGCTACAGAAAAGAGCAATTAGAATTGTTCATAAAGTAAAATATAATGATCACACCAACCCACTGTTTTTTCACGCATTTAATTTAAAATTGTATGATGTGGTAAATTATAGAACAGCTCTTATTATGTACAAAGCATCTACAGATTCTCTTCCTGATCACAGCCAGAGTCTTTTCCAAGATCGGGATGCTCATCACTCTTATAATCTGAGAGGGATCAATAAACTATATAAGCCAAAAGTTAGGACAACCCTTAAATCTAACTGCATTTCAGTGAGGGGGGTGACATTGTGGAACAGTCTTCCAGAGGAATTGAAAATATGTAAAAAACTTGTGCAATTTAAAAAAATGTTTAAAAGATATATAATGAATAAGTACCAGGAAGAGATGGGAGATTGATGCTCTCATAGACAGGCACATGCACATGTGTGTGTATGGCCTGGGTATGGGTCAATGTTTAAGATGAGTTACACTTTATACATTTCAAATGTCAAGACTGTAAATGACTTTATTGTAAATATGTGCAATTGTGATGGAGCTACGCCTTTTGAGTACTGTTTTTTGAGTACTATCATTGTGTCTGTCATGTATTGTATGGGGCAAAGGGGTGTATGGTCGGAGTGTTTGGGGCCTGTGTCGTGTTTCTGTTTATTGTATAGTGTGTGTATTTGGTGTAATGTGGTGTGAGTGGGGGGTTGGAATCGAATAAGCGTAAGCTTCCTCCATACCCTTTTCAAGTCATATGACTGTGAAGTGTAATTGACTGTGTATGTTATTTTTCTTTCTTTACTTGAAATAAATAAACAAACAAACAAACAAACAATCAGCTGTCAGCTCCAACACAGTTTTCTAATATGATGTTGTCTGGAACAGAACCTCTGAACTAAACCTCTGGTCTTCGTTTGTGCCCAGAGGATAACCCGTTTCTGGAGTGCCTGGAGTACGAGCAGAAGGCGGAGTGCAAACCCACATTCAGCTCTGTCATCAAAGACGTGGAGGTGGTGGAGGGCAGCGCTGCCCGCTTCGACTGCAAGATTGAAGGTACGGAACGTCACAGCAGGCAGAACATATACACAGATACTTCTATGCTAAAACCAGTTAAAACTACTACATCCCAACAGTTATCTGTGATGACTTTACAAAGCTGTCCATTTGCCAACACAGGTCAGACACATTGGTCATCTGCCTCTTACGGACCAATGGATCTATGTCCATAAATGAAAATGGATGTCCATAAATGTCGAGAAAAGTGAGAAACCTAAAGAGGCCCATATAAATCACACAACAATTGCCCCAGAGAACAGGTCAGGGAATCAGTTCGAGATTTTATGCTGGTGGCTTCTTTCTCTGGCGGATCAGACCATTTATATTGCTCCAGTTAAAGATAAGAGAACCAAGGAGATGATCATTGATTTTAATTGACATTTTGTTTCTTCGGCTGTAAGACTATAAACAGAGCTGTCTGAGTTAAGCATGTGCACTTTATTACAATCTTACTCTTTATTGAGTTAGTAACTCAATTATATTCATGTTTGTCTAGATGAAGTTTCTGCTGCTTTCTATCTAAGTATGTGATTTAGGGTGATACAAAAAAGAAATGGTGTTGTTGATATTGTGATTTCTTTGAGTGCAGGTTTCCCAGACCCTGAGGTGGTGTGGTACAAAGATGAGCAGCCCATCAAAGAGACCAGACACTTCCAGATCGACTACGACGAGGAGGGCAACTGCAGCCTGGTCATTTCAGAGGTGCCCATCACAGACTCCACAGACTCAGATTAATTTGATATCTGCAGTCAAATCACATTGGAATACATTTGCAGAAATTCTCCAGTGTGCACCAGATAAGTAGAAAAATGGGTTAAAAGTACAAGAAATAATGACCACTCTGAAACAAAAAACAAAACAAAAATTCAAGAAGTGTTAGATCATTAACTCATTGACTGCCAGCCCATTTCAAAACAGGTACTCCCATATTGCCAGCCGTTTCTGGTGGTTTTTACTGATTTTTCAAGACCCACAGAATATTGTGTACTTTGACTATCTGAAATCTAAAACTAGATTCTGAAAGAATGGGCTGTCTACTCTCACCAGCAAAAAGAATTTTGTTTCTATCTTGTTTAGTTCTTCTGTAATCCCCAGTTGAGTAGAGGGAAGTTTTATTGAAATCACCAGAAAGCTGAGAAAAAAGGGCCACAAACAGTGCATCTAGCTGTGTTCAAACCATTCATAGCGCAATGCTGCCATCTGCTGGCTCCATAAAGTATTGCCTCAAGCCAATCTCCACATATTAGATTCAATGGACAGCTGGGAACGTAAAAATAGCGGGAAACGCAATTGACGTGTTAACACGTCATTGGCAGTCAATGAGTTAAAGCTGGTCTACCTCAGTTTGTTTTTGTATTCATTGGGAAAATTCAATCCATATACATGCAGTGCATTGGGTTATACAGTACAGACACAAAAGTTTGGACACACTTTCTCATCCAATGAGGTTCCTTTCTTTTCATGACTATTGACTGTAGATCCACACCAGGCTGTTTGACCAATAAGGAGAGTGGTGGGTGCTGGGCCAGATGACCCGGCCTCCACAGTCACCGGACCTGAACCCGATCCAGATGGTTTTGGACCTGAACCCAATCCAGATGGTTTTGGGGCTGGACCACAGATTGAAGGCGAAAGGGGCCAACAAGTGCTAAGCATCTGTGGGTACTTTGACCATTTTAGGTCCTCTTGAAGCTCATCAAGAGAATGCAAAGACTGTGCCAAGCAGTAATCAGAGCAAAAGGTGCTACTTTGAAGAACCTAGAATATAAGACAGTTTTCAGTTGTTTCATACTTTTTTTAGTATGTACATAATTTCACATGAGTTAATTCATAGTTTTGATGCCTTCAGTGTGAATCTACAATTTTCATAATCATGCAAAATAAAAAAACTGCTGAGAAGGTGTGTCCAAACTTTTTGTCCGTGCTGTACGTCCTTTTGAAGAATAGCTGGTTTGTACTGGAGTGTGATTTTAGTTTAGATCAAATTTTCATGCAAAGCGGAAGAGAAGGGACCAGATTTTAACCAATCAAAGCAGTCGACTGTTCTTGAGATAATCTACAGGTCTCTCGTTGGCACAGACAGCTGAGGTAATGTCTTCTGCCAGAGGGAAGAAGCTGGAACATGCCTTTTCCAGTGGCTAGAATAGTCATTGTTCTGGAAGTCCTTTATTAATCCAGACTCTTAATCAGAGTTAATAAAATAATCAGACGGCTCACAGTCCTCTTTTAGAGAGGGGCACCTTGTTTAGAGCTGTCCTTTGGCAGTGATGTCACCAAACCACAGTCACAGAACCAACAAGTAAACTTTCAATGGGGCAGCGATTAAAGTTAAGCAGGATCTTAGTTTGTCTATATATCTGTTGTCTGTACTTGTATATATTAGGAATTTTAAGAATTTTACTTACAAAAAGAATTCTTTTTAATTAAATTTTCTCCCATTCCGGCACACAGGTTTCTGGGGACGACGACGCAAAGTACACAGTGAAGGCGGTGAACAGCCTGGGGGAGGCCACATGCACGGCAGAGCTGCTGGTGGAGGTGATGGCTGAAGAGGAAGAGGAGGAGGAAGAGGAGGAGTGAAGGATGAATGTCTGGCCCCCACAGGAAGAGCTCCTCTATGTACAGAACTGTCCACATCCACAGCATGAGTACACATGCATTCTCAGAGTGCAGGCCATTTAGTTTTGATACTTTTCCCCCCACAACAAAATGTCTACAGTTGTTTTCAGTTTTTAGCAGATTTTGTTATTTCAAAAAAAGAAACAACTTATCAAATAATTCAGATTTCAACGCAAAAAAGGAATCTTTTTTTAATAACATTTTTACAGGTTTTTATCATGTTTTTTCTATATTTTTTTACCATTTGTTCATGATCTATTTTATGAATCTATTTTCTTTTTTCTAAAATCCAACATTATTTAGAATAATAATAAATGAGTTGGTTTAAGATCTCCTGCCCATTATTAGCCAGACAAAATTTCAGATACATTTTGAATTTATTTATTATGAATTACGTGTAGCTTTTCCTATGGGGGTCTTGTTTAAATGTGATAACCAGAGCTTTATACTTACAGTGGAACCAGTCCATTCATCATTCACACTTCTTACTCATCTGTAACCCCCCCCCCCCATTGTCAGAACACACTGTTCCTGGAGCCGACTTCACTTTTGTCACTACAAGGCTCTGGAGATAGTGATGAAGACTTTTTTGTGTCATTCTGCACCGTTTCCGTGTCAAATCTTTTGTTGGAGCACTTATTTATACTGTGCCTTCTATCTGTGGAAATCTATCTATTTCTACAGATAGATTTTAGCCTTATCATGAGCCTTAATATAAATGTATACAGTAGATATATACTGTATTTGCCATGGGTTAAAGAGAACAACGGTTACATGTGAAATTCTACAACTCTGATGTGAAAATATTTAGCAATTCAGCTTAAAATGTTATGAAGATTTTTACAGAGACCATATTTTGCTGGTTATTCAGGAGGGTGGGTAGAGAAGCACACTGGGTCTTTCCCCAAAGCCCATGGCCATAGGGGAACGGTGAATGAGTTGTAAATGAAGAGATTTGAGAGAAGACGCTACTCCCTGTTCACCACAACAGTCTGTCAATCTCACGATCCAACCTTCTCTCCCTGAGAACGATCACTTTGTGAGTGGTTGTATGAAGCCATATATTGTCAAATAAACTTGTTTTGCTTTCAAATTATAACATCATTGGGCTGCGCTGGGTAGATCTCAAACATACTGTACAGGCAATGCAAGGTGGCCCAGGAATATACAGGGACTGGAGATTTTTTGCCAAGAAGAATGGGCAGCTTTATAATAAGAAAGGATAAAGAACGACATCCACAAATACCACAAGACTTCAAGCTGTCAGATGTTAAATTGAGAACTAGGGGATGGAGATTTCAGGTCAGGGCCAGAAGAGTCGTGTCTCTTGTCATTATCATTGGTATGAAAAGTTTTATTTGACAAAGAAATGGCTACAGTATACCAGAAACCAACCAGTATACAGGGAAATGTCTTGGTAAACATGGCTTCCAGCTGCAGTCTGGCAAATCACTCACAGTTATAACGAGTTTGTACTAGCTTTGCCTGAGTTAGAACCAGCGCCAAGCAGATACTAGAAAAGATAAGATTAAAGTTTATTGATCTCACATGAAAGAAGTATCTGATCCTGGTTAAACATTGAAATTGCTCCCAAACGGGGCAAAGTAAAGCCGGGGAGAGAAGGGCCAAGTAGGGCTGGTGGAAACGGGGCTAAAATGTCAAACTTTCCTACTCAATTGTTGCAAGCCGATACATCGACCAACTGATTTACACTGTTAACTCATTGACCGCCATTGACGTGTTAACACATCAAACCAAATAGTAACGTTGTCTGCAATTGACGTGTTAACACGTCAATTCCGTTGTCCGCTATTTTCACGTTCCCAGATGTCTATTGTATCTAATATGTATGCGGATTGGCTTGAGGATAAATTTATCTAGCCAGCAGGTGGCAGCATTTCTCTCTGAATGGTTTGAAAACAGCTAGATGCACTTGTTGTGCCTCTTTTTTCTCAGCTTTTTGGTGATTTCAGTAAAACTTCCTTCTACTCGACTGGGGATTACAGGGGAACGAAACAAGCTAGAAACAAAATTCTTTTTGCTGATGAAAGTAGACAGTCCATTTTTTCAGAATCTTTTGGATTTCAGATAGTCATAGTACACAATATTCTGGGGTCTTGAAAAATCAGTAAAAATCATCAGAAACAGCTGGCAATATGGGAGTACCTGTTCTGAAAAAGGCTGGCACTCAATGAGGTAATATCTACATCAACAGTGGCACTATGGAGAAAAAAATGGGTCAAAATGAAGACAAAGTTCCTTCAAAAGAATATTTAACATCAACTTTCTGGACAAAACATCTGATCTTGTAATACTAGAACGTCAAAACAAACAGTATTTTCTCAATGGCCTCGAACACAGCACTAAACTGGTTCATTTCCAACAGTCGCACACTCACGTGCCGCGGCCTGCACCTGCTTCGCTCTTGTCTGTCGGACACTTTTAACGTTTGTATTTTGTGTTGCCACATTCCAGCAGACTGTGTGCGTTTGTTTTCATGTATTTAAGGGCTGAAACCAAAGAAAGGCCTTTGTTACCCTTCACCGGAGTGCAAGTGTGAAACTGTCCCCCTTACTGTGTTCCATGTTTCAAATGTTTTATTTTTGCGACTTATTTAAAGCACAGATTTATAACTATGGTATTGTATCTTATGAGCATCGGTCGTCTTTGAGATTCATGTCTGCACTTAATTTTATTTGTATTTTTTTCACCAGTGGTCCCTTGTTTTTGAAACTAACACAGTGACTGTTTTGTGTTAGACGTTGTATGTAGATGAATCATTTTTATATAACTAACTGTTTGGAGAACTGCAGATACCTTGTACGAGAACTCTACGTCTGTAGTTGCTCACAGAAACCAAATAAATTTATATCACAAAATAAACAAGCTGTTGTGTGGTGCTCTGTCAGTACCTGCTTTGTCTTTGCACTAGTTTCTAAATATATGCACAGTGGTCACTGCCAGATACACGACTAACACAAAGTGACAGATGTGATGTAAAGCAAAATGATACAGGACTTCTTTTAAAAATAAAATTGAAACAGCAAAGTATTCTGCCTCTCACACGGGTATGACTGTAAAGTTTGCAAGTCTAGAGACTGATTTTTGTTCAAGTCGTTGCAGAACAGCTCAAGTTCCATCACATTTGAACAGTTTTTAGATCTTCCACAGTTTACGGATCATCTCGGTTCCATTCTAACACATGAATATGTTTGGTCGTGAACCCTTCCATTGTATGACGTCCCTATGTTTAGTGAAATTGTCCTGCCTTCACAACAGTCTTTCTGACTCAACAGCTTTTCTCATGGGATTGTCCTGTCCCCCCCCCCCCCCCCCCCAAATATGACACTGGAAATGGTGCACTAGAGTTCTTGAGCAGACAGTTGATTTTGGTCTCATCTGACTCCTGCACCTATTAACCACTCATGCACTACACAAATTTGGGTTTGATGAGTGTGTTCACAGTAAAGTGACAATTGAAGTATCTGGACTTTAAAAGGTTATAACTTAAAAACTAAAATTACTTTCATAGATTGGAAAAAAGATTTCAAACACAGACACATTGAAGAGATAGTGTGGAAAAAATCAAAAGGAAAGATTGACATAAAAATGTTTAGCAACATTTTAAACGACCAAATTAGCCTCTGATTGGACCATTCTACTGTGACGCCAGTTACATAAAAAATAAAATGTCCTCAGTCTGAAAAAGCAGAAGATGAAATCCCACAAGATTTACATGGTTAACACAACAGAAGAAAATCACTTTCGTAAATCGTAAAAAAATAAAAAATAATTAATTAATTAAATGACACCTGAAAAATTTATAACGGACGTGATGAGGACGGTCCTCTTTTCTCTAAAAATTAAACTTGAGAAGAAAAAAAATCTGGTCTGTTTTCACATTTAATTGCTTGACAATATGAAAGTATCACTTTGCATCTACTTTGTGTAAAAAAGTAGAATCTCTGAATCAAATGTGGACATCTGAAAATACCATCAAACTTGCACAAAGCTCATTCCGTCAAATCATCACGTCCGTTAGATAAAATAAACAGGGCCGCTATAGGAAACTTGTCTAATGTATAAAACAGTTATGTTCTAGCAACTTCTAATGGACAGAGGAGGTGCTTGGAAACATGAAAAACATAAAATATCTTCTGATTATTAAAATCTAATTTTTGGCCTTTTGTCACACTTTTGTGCCCTTTAGTGTGAACAAGCCCAACCAGTGTTGGGCAAGTATCTTCAAAAATGTAATACATCGAAACAGTAACAAGTCATAAAGTACTGTTACACTACAATAGTACCGTCTGAGTTGTAAAGCCTTACACTACTACTGAATTACTTTTAAGTTACTTTCACCAAAGTTTTGGTTTGACACAAAGGGCCCTCTGCTGATCTCGTGGCATTGGATAACAAAACACCACAATTTAATATAAATATAATTTAAAATGCAATTCAACCTTTTGTACAGAGTAAAATATTACCCAGTTGTTCTTTTTAAATTTACATTACCCTGTTACAGCAAAAAGCAATACATTAAAGTTAATACATTACTTTTGGAACTCGTTTCTCCCAACACTGATGACTAGTATTTGCCTCATATACAAATTCCCCCAGCATGTGAGCCAGACGTGGCCATCTTGGTCATTCATTTGGTCAGAAAACTAATGAGTCCATTAAACTGTATGCAGTCTTTTTCAACCCATTTGTGAGTAAGTAATCTTTATTTATAGAGTGTACAAATTGCAATCAGAGAATTTGCAGGTTTGGCCCTGCAAATGCAAATATTTTGATCTGATGAATAAACATTTTTACAGACACACAGTAGACCAGGAACAATTCCACATCTTTATTGTGGAGTCACTTTGGACGCATTTCCATTTGCTCTGGTCTCTTTCTCTGATCTCCCACAGCGCAAGAGCGTCTTCAGACTCCGGTATATCTCGCCCACTTTCAGCCCGTAAACAATAGGGTTCCCCACGGTCGGTGCTAGAAGCAGGATAAGCGAGGCCGTGACCGGAGGCTTCGACTGCTCTCCTCTGATGGTCGATCTCTGCATGATATCGAATGTGGTACACACGGAATAGTTGAGCAGCACGATCACATGGGGCAGACACGTGTTCAGGGCTTTCGAGACGAACGACCGCGATCGCCGCAGGCAGAGGTACAACACACGGCCATACGAGAACAAGATGAAGGCTAAGGGCATGAACATTAGTATAGTGTTGCATAGGAAACTACACTTTTCCCAAGGCCTTTGCTTCCAGACAATTCAGACTTGTGTAGGTATACAAGTCGCAGTATAATCTGGTGGCTTTGTAGAGACACGGCTTGGCAATCAAAACCGCTCATGTGACTAGAATCAGGGGGACTAGCCAGCACATCAGCAGCAACACAGTGATGGCTCTAGGAGACATCAACGCGGCGTAACGTAAAGGATGGCAAATAGACAAGTATCGATCGAACGCCATGGCTGACAGAAGAAGAAAGCTTGAACCGCCAACAAAACCCACGATTAAAGCCTGGCAAAGACACTCATATCTGGACAGCAAAACCACGCGCTTCCCTTGAAATAAATCCCACAGGAGCTTGGGATAGATTGAGGAACTGCCGATGGCGGAGTTGACGAGGACGGCGTACATGGGCCGGTGAAGGCAGCGGCGCGAGCAGATGATGTAGACCACTGTGGCGTCGCTGAGCATGACAAAGCCATAGATGAGCAGGAGGAGCACGGCCAGAGGGATCCTGTAGTCGTACAGCTGCGACAGGCCGTCCAGGTGAAGGACGCTGACAAATGAGGTGTTCATGTTTGTCCAGCTAAGTCAAGTCTGGGAAAAGGGTTTCCAAAGTGTGCGTCTTTATATGAATTGATTGCCGGGTATGGCGCTAGTTGAAGAGGGAGCCACCAGTTGCTCATCACCCGTTTCCAGGTAGATCCCCAAAGAAATTAGAAATACACAAATCAAATGAAATACTGGATATTTCACCTTCTCACAACTATTGAAATTGCAAATCAGTTACTTTGTGCAGAAGTAACAAATGTGATGATAAATAATTGTTGATATATTGACTGTACTGAATGAGGCTCACGCTCATATGTATTGTCCCTGGGCTGCATAAAGGAGAAGCTCTCTGCCTCTTTCATCTAAAAGTAGCTTGGAGACACTTTGGTAAGGGTTAGTATTAGTACTAGCATTGGGTAAGAACATTGGTCGACTAAAGGTTGAGTTACAAGAAACTATTGTAAGTTCAACTTTCCAAGAGCTTTCCAAATTACATACAGATACAAATGTTCAGGTAATTTCCTCCATAGGTTTTCATTTTGAATAAAGCCGTAAATATGTTTTTTCGATTAATATTTGCCCTTATGAGCAGCGGCAATGTTAAAAGTTCATAGAAAAAGGTGCTGGGGAGTCAGTTACAGTCAAGCTACTTCAATCTTCATGAATGCCCCAAGCTATCGGGTATCTTTTCATCGGTGAGGAAGTGCAGGGCTTTGGACTTTGAGAAGCACTGCATTAGATCATCAATGTCCATCCATCCATCCATTTTCTACCCTTTAATCCATTTCTGGGTCAGGGGGGTGTCAGTCAGAGATGCCACCCAAGTCTCATAGCACCAGCCCCTCACTGACCCTCTGCAGGTGGTGAGTCCACAGGAGGACGGCTGCTCTCTGAGTGTGAGCATAGCCTTGATCTTTCAGTGGGGGCTTTGGGCAAAGTGGGGTTAAGTGTCTTGCCCAAGGACACAACGACAGCAGTCATCAGTGGGAGTCAGAGGAGAAGGTGTAGAGGTGGGAATTGAACCCACGACCTTCTGGCCTTAAGGCCAATGCTCTACCAACTGAGCTACTGTCGCCCAGATCATCAATGTGCTTTCTGTAAATCACGAAATACAAATTTCTATATGGAACATGGATGAAAATTCTACATTAAGATATATTCCAACACGGATCAATCCAAGTAATGTACTGTTACAGCCAGCAGAAGATGAGCTTAGAGACCTAGAAAACTTGCAAATCAGTGACACAATAGGAATAAGTCACTTTATAATTCATGCATCTAATGGAAAATATTTACTGCTCCACAGTAATGTTCATAATAAACACATAAAAACAAATATAAATGTCCATCTAATTTGCTAACTTCTAACTTCCTATAGAGCCAAACCCTACTTCACTTATCAGTTGAAAAAAACAGTTCAAAACACAAATGAGCAGCCTCTTTGTACATTAGACTTAGAGTTGAACTGCATTAAAAAGCTCACATGTCAAGACTACATCCAAAAGCAACAACAACAACAAGGTATTGGTTACTAAATGTGCACTTCCTGGCTGCACAAGTACAAAAAAAGCATTTATCTTAAAACATGGACAAAAATCATGAGCAAAAACAAAAAAGAGATTGATTAACTGCTTTGAACTGACAGGAACCGTGAATCCAAATATATTCTAACTTGTTGCCTCCACCGCTTGAGCTAAAATGTTCGCTGTTATGAACAATACATAGACCTACACATCTAATTATGCATTAGGTTATACTATGCAGGGAAAAGGTATTAGCCAATATTACTGCTATTACATTACTATAATTATGTAAAGGTACATTACATTTAGTGCAAACGATCAAAGTAAAGCTATTCAAAGAAATGACAATATAACAGATGTGATAAAAGAAGTGATAAAAGCATCAACATGTTAAACCACCTAGCAGTTATTAATCTTGAGGCTTAAAGCTGGGGTACTTACATTTAAAATCTTACAAATTGCCGTCATGGAAAATTCATGCTACTAACATACTCTCAAAACATTTTGCCTCCAACACTAGTTTTAATGTGTATTTTGGCTTCTGTCACAGCTTTAGTTCAGCTTTTTCAGATAGAAAAGTGAAAAACAGGCCCACACTCACTCAGCCAAAAGTGGCAAGTGACTCACAGGGGCGACTAAATATGAAGTTATCAATGATGGAAACAAACTGAAGATTCTAGTCGATAAAGCAAGTATGAAACTCAAATATGCACAAATCAAAAGTCTGGAAAAAAGTAGAACAAAAAAAAAGATGGGTTTAATATGTTTCTTGTCTGTCCAGTTTAAATGTAAAAGCAGTGATGGTAGATGGAGTGCAGGGCGAACAGGACGACAGAGGCCTCTCCTAGGGCTCGCAGCAGATAAAGCTTGTCCCCTGGAAGTCTGGGGACCTGGGCACTTGTCATCAGTAGCTCACAGACCAGCATGCTCACTCCGCTCTGCCCCCAATGCGAACACCAGGGCTCTGTCACTGCTTTTATCAGATACCAGGAACTCTCCATAGACTTTTTTGAAGATGGGGAGGGGGGAAAGTTCAGTTTGATCAGCAGGCTGAGGCTTGAAGAGAAGGCTGCATTTATTTAAAGATATAGTATTACCTTTGTGACTATGATTGGGTTTGCAATTTCTGTCAAGAGAAGGTAAAGTGTGCAGGTGAAAATCCCTCAAAAGTTGATTTATTTCTGTATTTCAACTTAATTCAATTAGTTATTTTTGTATAGTCCTGAATCACAACAGTTAACTCAGAGGACAACGTAACAAAGTTGTTGATTCACCAACAAAGCTCAAAGAATCAAACAGATAAAACAAAGACATGCAAGAAGGAGCGCTACCATAATGGTGCTTTCAGACCGGGACAGTCGTTGCGTCTGCGTTCAATGCAAAGTCAATGGGGAGTCGCGTTTCAGCGTCGCATTGCACGGACCTCTCGGCACACACGCACGGACCGCCCAGTAGAAACGCACGGACTTGGCGGGAAAGTCAAAGGGGGGGAGAAGGAGCGGAAAATGAACGCCCACAGGAGATGGATTCCGCTCAACTTTTCCTCGAGATGTTCGTGCAGCGACCAATCAGCTGCCTTCTTTCATCTCAAAAACATTGCCCGTCTTCGCCCATATCTGTACTCCACCGCTGCTGAAACCCTGATCCATGCATTCATATCCTCCAGACTCGACTTCTGCAACAGTCTTTTATATGGTCTTCCTTCATCTGATCTCCAAAAACTACAATATGTCCAAAACTCCGCCGCCTGCCTCCTCACTCAGACCCGCTCCAGAGAGCACATCACCCCTGTCCTTCAAAAACTCCAGTGGCTCCCCGTTAAACAGCGCATCCATTTCAAAATCCTCCTCATCACCTACAAAGCCCTCCATAACCTCGCCCCTCCTTACCTCACTGAACTTCTACAGCCCTACAGTCCCTCCCGCCGACTCCGATCTGCAGACTCACATCTCCTCACTCCCACTGTCAAATCCAGGCACCGAACCTTGGGGGACCGAGCTTTCGCCATCTCTGCTCCCACTCTCTGGAACTCCCTCCCCCTCCATCTCAGAAACTCGGACTCTCTAAACTCCTTCAAAAAACAGCTCAAAACTCACCTTTTCCTCCGAGCATTTGACTCTTAGTTTAAACTCTCTACCCTTCTTCCTCACTCTTAGATTTTTAGTTTGTGTGTCTGTCTAAACGTGTGTGTTTGTGTCATGAATTTGTGAAGCGTCTTTGAGTTCTTGAAAAGCACTATATAAAACTGATGTATTATTATTATTATTATTAATCAGAGAGCACGCACACCACTGACGTAATCACGCCACTACACGGCGTATATTTTCCTGTCTGGTCCCTCTATTGGGGAAATTGGAGCCCCATGCCCGTTACAGAATCAAACGGAGGTTTTCGAACATCATCTACAAGGAACTTGCAGAAAAGGAAAATGCGCCACCATCCAATGTGCAGGGATAGCCATGTGACCTCACTCCATGCAATTGTATATATATGTAAATAAAGTGTTGTGTGAATCTCTTGTGTCTATGTAGATACATTTCCTAGGTTCTTTTTAATCTTGTCATTAAGAGGCGTAGTTGTAGAAGAACCATACATTACAGAATAAATGAGCAGATAGAAAATTTACTTTGGCCACTCCTTTACAGCATATATATTGGCATATTGACATTGTAGAATTCTCCACAGCTCTGAGAATGTATAAGGCGAGTACAAAAATTTTCTATAGTTTGTTTCAGCCCTTAGCACCTGGTTGATGAGGGAACAAAGTTTGTTCAATGTTTGCATTACGTTCTCTTGTCTCTGTGATATGCTACGGTTGTTTACTGTTGTATGCTACATTGGTCACTAGATGGCGTGAAAACGGCCCTAAATCAAGGGTCGTTTTAAACAGTTTAATTACACTGTATTATGATTAAGCAAGTAAGGATAAGGGAACGGCAACTTCACATTGTAGAATTCACCAAAGCTCAGGTAATATAAGGCGCGTACTAACATGTTACCAAATTAAAGTACAGAGGAATGTCTTTATATGACGATAACAAATGTTGAGGGCCCAATGTTAATATCTGCCATACTCGCACAAACAGTAAGGGTTTTAGTAATATCAATTGGAGTACTAGGGAACCAAAATAATATTCGGAACTCACCTACATAAAGTTTATTTACATGATCGCAGTTTCTAATATTTAAAATTCATACTCTATCTTTAATGTGGTGTGTGTTAAACAGAGTATTTCTCATGCACAATATTCTCTATGACTCTGTGCACGAGAAAAGGTACGAATGGACTAATCAAAGTATGTGGTACTTTATTTTCCACTAGTGAACCATTCCATTCCAAAGCTAAATGTCTGATTTGACATTGCCTATAATTGGGGCTGAATAAGAAGGATCATAGAGTAACGTTTCAAAACAAAACTAGGTACTATGAACAACTTTTAACTTGACTTCACGTCTCGTTAGCTGTAAGTGTTTACCTAAAGCATTTTAAATTAAAACATA